CCTCCTCTTCCACGTTGTCCAGAATTATACGAAGGCACCGGATGTTCTCGTGACAAGTAGCCACAATCTCTGCCTGAAATAAAGTTTCTTTCTTTATTTTAATCACTAAGAGAGCAAAAGAGCAGAATACAGCAAGATCTCAATCGACGAGTTACTTACAAAGTCAGAAGCCAGCAGAAGTTCGGGTGACGACTTGGCTGGCTGCTTGCTGAACACGTGTTCAGAGTAAAGAAGCTGCGAGCGAGACTGATAGATCACATGTCGAATATCTTCGAGGTCCGAGTCGCTATCCAGTACGGAACTGTCACCGGGTATGCCCTGTATCCAAGAATTACATGACTGGAGAACATGGACGATAAATGAACTCCTAAAATATACATCCACATTTTCAAGCAATTTAAATGGATTTGGAATAAAAATGACAGTAGAAATGCTAAATCTTAGCTCTAACCAACAAATCTTTGTAACGGGAACGTTTCCTCTGAGGTAAAAACTAAACGTTTCAGTATAAATTAGATAAACGTGTTTTAAAGGGTTGCAGTGGTTATGAAATGTACTAGACCACAATCCCAAATTACACCCATCACCATAATTGCTGCCACGAGAACGTCAAATCTCACCCGTTAACATCCCCAATTCCCGTTAAGAACCGAACAACTTACCGTTGGTCTTCGCCTCCGCACAGGTGACGGGATTTGATTTGCACTCAGGCTTGAAGCACAATCTGATTGGCTGTCAAGGTAATTGCGGTAGTCGTCGCCAAACTCGAGCAGGCGGCGGGCAGTTTCAGAGTCGGCCAGTTCTTCACTGTAAGGCTCACTCATGTATTTCTCCTATGAGCAGAAAAGTGAGTTTCGTTCAACCTCACTGTGCTTGCGGCCGACACATTACAACTAAACACGTCATTAATCCATTAAACTTTTCTGAGCGAGTGATAAGTGCGGCCATATTTGTAGGACGGCGGGGGGAGAAGAAAGCGAGGAGGTGTGCATCACTAGGAGCAGATAAGGAAGTTGAGCAGCGTTCTCTCTGTTCAAAAAGACCAAAGAGAGACTGATGACGCTAGTCACGCTATAACCTCGTTGCACTCGCAATGATAAAATGAAGTAATTTTAAAAAAAATTAATGTAAATGCCATAGGTCAGGCAGTCAGTGACTGGTTTCTCACCAATGACACCCCAAGTTTCCACCCAGAGATGTCCACGTGGGACATGTGGAATGATTGGCGGACACTACGTTATGTCAAGTGCCAAATGAAACTAACCTGGTAGTTATCCCACGCCTGCTCGGAGAACGAGCTCAACTGCTCCTCCACTGTATGGGCACTCTTCTTGTCTACGTCGCTGTCGCCATCTCTTTTCGCTTCATCACCAGCCACTGGCCCAAGTTTGAACACGGGCAACACTTTCTGCTTCTGTGACCGACATTCGTCCTCCGTTTCAGTTCCGCTGGTGACGTCGCCCGCGAGAGAGTAAGCCTGCATTGCCGGGTCACTCGCGGCGTATCTCTCGGGTATCTTCCTCCCGCTCGTGGGAGTGCCAGAAAAGGAACCTGACTTAAAGAGAGTCTGTGATATCCTTCCTCTAGGACTAGCTTCTGCACTTGAACTAGTAAGAGATTTAGTCAGCGTCTGAGACAAACCAAGACGGCTTCCTTCCGAGCCAGAACTGAGGTACGATTTTCCAAGCACGCAAAATCCACTCCCTGCACTTCCCTCTGCGCCCGAACTATTACGAGTCCTGGGGGTCAACTTGAGCGGAGATGATCTGTGCTGTGTGTCGCTGCCACCAGAGTGGCTAACTGTCACACCATCTGACCCAGATT